GGAGACTGGCTCTGTCAGACATTCTGGTTCAACATAAACCATTTACTCAAGCATGCTAACTTCACCTGTTGAAGCCGAAACACTGCAGGTGTCAACCTGAAGGCCAGTATGCAACATGGAGGAAGACGGTAGAGGCAGAACTACTTTTTGAGAGGAGTACTTCCTTCTACGGTGAAAGTCTCGGTGTTTCATTGCGAAAGTACTGAAAAATTGCGAATACAGCAGAAATCAATCACGAACCAGAGAACCAGAGACGTTCTGCCAATGTTAGCGACTCAAAGTAAGTTCTCAAGAATCTCGAAGCAAAATAACTGCTTTTTGAAAACCGCTCCCTTGCTAAATACTAGTGAAATTGCGTAAACATCAAGAAAATATTTTCAAAGTTTTAAATTTCTACGATTGATCCTGTGTTAAAAAATAATCAGCTATTTTTGAGGTTGAGACGCGTTATAGCCATTTGAAATGCGCCATAACCGATTGATCATAAATTTAATGTATTCAAACAGAGAATTTTGTTCCTGTGTTATGCTGAAAAACAACACAAATAGCATAATCGGATGATTTGCTCTAAACCAAACAACTGCTCCAGACAAGAAGAAAAACCTCATACCTTGAAGAAGGCATGGGAACAAAACCGAAACGTAGGTATTTGTCAATTATCTGATCCACCATATTATCTGTTTCGCAATGTATTAATAAACCGTTTTTAAACTGTTTCTCAAGTTCTTATTATGTGACATACCCGTAGGTTATCTAGTTTCTATGGTTTGATATGGAGATGCCACTTTCGATTTTTGAAAATGTTTGACAATTGCCTTCAAACTCAGCCGCGACGCAATATGCTCCTACAATATCTCTACAGTCGAACTGCAAGCAAAAAAACTTAGGAGGCCTGAAAGTAACTCAGCGCATTATTGAGGCTTAGTCATAAAACCGCAGTGCATCAGATTGCCGTCTCTATGAAACGACATATCTTTGCAGCAACTTTATTTTGTCTCAGACCCTGTGTCCAAAGCAGAACTTGGAGCTTTCTATTATTAGCACCATGTGGAGTATTTTGATATGGAATCTATGGAGGACCTAAGAATGAGACTTTCCATTTCTGCTAAAATGTTGCTAAAGTGAAAAGTAAGCATTAAAAAGTATGTTGGGTGTCATCGTTTAAATAGGCATCTGTATTTCTTTTATTTGATATTTCGTGCCATGGAATGAAGATCTAGGAATGAAAGAAGTCTACAAAGGCTATTTTTCTCATTCAGAAAGGCAAACCAAGACAGGGAAGCGATTTATCAACATTATCCAATCCATTTGGTTTGAAAGATTTCATTTACCACTGTCATATATTTGAAGCACTACTGTATATTTGAAGCACAGTAGCAGGGAGCTCAGCCTTGACCTAAATGTTTTATCCAAACGGGACATTAATAATTGTTTAGAGATAAGTGTTGAAACCCTGCAAGTTAAGTTCATAAACTAACTTCTAAGGAATCCGTAAATAGATGATAATTGATAGATATGGATAACCACGATTTCCTGAAAACAAA